TGCGCCTCGCCGAGAGCTTTCTGGGGGTGCCCCGGATCGTCCCGAACGGCCGCAGAAGGCCCGAACTATGGCCCGAAAACCACCAGGGGACTGGCTCAGGGGGAGAAGCATCGAGGTGGAATCGGCGATGCGTCGCCGATGGATCGGCTATGGCACCCAGTAGCAAATGCGCACCTTTCTGGGCGGGGCGAGCTATCGGGCCCGTGTCGGCAATGAGCGGACGATTGGAGTCGATGCGTCCCCCCTGAACCCATGGCCCTCAAAAGTGCACCGCTCCAAATTTGAACTCCCTTCAGGCCCCGCTTGAACACAGTACGGTGCATACTTGTTCGGCCCCTTCAGGCAGGAACACGACGCGGAAGACCACACCCTCCTGCTCCCCTTCATGGCGGAGCTCGGGCGCGGCGGGTCGCTGAGCTCCCTCAGCGAGGCGAACCTAGAGGTCAAACGCGCCCAAGAGGGCGAGGGCGCAGCTCGGCGCCACCCAAGCCGTCGGGTCGGCTCTCGGCATCCGACTACCCCGAGGTGCGGGACCCCCTGTGGGGAGGGGGCCATCGAAGCGGCCAGAGCACCGCTGCAGGACCCAGGGGGAAACAGGTCCAGCAGGTGTTCCCCGCCATTACCACAAATCGGCCCTCGGCCTGAGGCACGTGGAAGCGATGCTACCCAGCATGGCCCAAGCGAGTACTACGAGGAGTACTGCGAATTCAACCCCATGCTTGGGGAGCTACCGGGCGACTGGCGAAGCCGACTGTCCCTTTGCAAGACTATCACCGGGCCGACTGGCGACGCCGAGCTGAAGGTGGACGATATGGACACCTTCTTCGCTATCGAGGCCCTGGCCATGCTTAAAGCGAGGGCTCTTCTCGGGATTGACGCTGACGACTCCGCCAGCATGGCCGAGGAGCAGGACCCAGAGGAGCAGGTCACCCTGCTCAACACGAAGGCCTTTCTCGGGATTGACGATTCCGCCAGCGAAGCCGAGGAGCAAAACCCAGAAAATCATATCTCCCTGCTCGAAGCGAGGGCACTTCTTGGTTTTGACGCTGACGACTCTGCCAGCGAAGCCGAGGAGCAGGACCCACTGGAGGAGGACGACGACGCTGTCGCGGCCAAGCTGGCCGAAGCGAGGGCACTTCTTCGTATTGACGATGACGACTCCGCCAGCGAAGCCGAGGAGCAGGACGACGACGTCGATGCCGACGCGGTATATGAGGCCGCACTGGCCGGAGCGAGCTCTTTTTGAGCTCGGCGCGAACAGCGCGCGACATCGAAGCCTCGTTGTTAAACTGTGTGCGTGTGCTTGTATGCCTCGCGCTGCGTGGTATGAAACAAAACTCATACAAGCAAACGCGTGCTCGCGTGCTCTGTGGTAACAAAAGCCTTTGGCGCCGCGCGCCATAAACCGAGCCGCACGTCGCGGCAACCATGGGGAACCGCGCTGTCGGCGAGCGATGGTGCACGCAGAACTCAGGGAATCAAGACCGCCACCCCCGTCGCAAAGCCGAGGTCGATTTTCGATGTGTTACCAGGTGGGCCGAGGCCGCAGACCGACGGCATCGCAAGACCGAGGCCGAAGACGAATGCCGAGGCCGAAGGCCGACGTGCATCGCAAGACCCAGCGGCAAAACCAAGGCCGACTACCGACACCGTTGGGCACAAGTCAAAGCCGACAACCACGCCTAACACATCGGAGAATCCACCCCGAACACCGACGTGTACGCAATGATGTCAAACAAGCTGCGCTTTCAAGTGCACACCAAAAATCTGGAGCCACAGCCAAACCACACATAATCCCACCAGCCCTCTGGGCGTCGGTGGTTTAGAGCGTTTCCTCTTCCACCCCTCCTTCTTCCCCTTCGGGGAGGGGTTTACCCCTCCCCCTACCCCCTCCCCACTGACCTGGACAGGGGGTTCCGCGGCGCGCTGGAGCGCCCGAGATCGACCCCTGGGAAGGCTAAAATTCGACACCCCTCACGAGGATCGTGGCTCCTGGGGGGGGGCTCTAATTAAGAAACCCCTCTTCTTTGATCGATTTCCTCCACGATGGCCGCAAGAGGCCCCCAGGATGCCCCAAGAGGCCGCAGGATGGCCCCAAGATGACCCCAAGAGGCCCCCCAAGAGGCCCCCAGGATGCCCCCAAGGGACCCCCAAGAGGCCCCAAGAGACCCCCCAGAGGCACCCAAGGTGCTCCCAGAGGCCCCAAGATGGCCCCAAGAGGCCCCAAGAGGCCCCCAGGAGGCCCCAAAGAGGATCCCGAACGGCCCACAGAGGCCTCCCCGAGGCACCCAAGACGCCGAAAAGCCCCTCAGGACGACCCTCTACTCGCCTGGGCGTCGTTTCTGGACGGGCTGGTGGGGATACGCGAAGCGTCTAGAATTCAAACCAACAAATTGACCGCAAAAACCCTCACACCAAAACGAAAGCGGATTTCCGTTTTAGTCGCTCTCCCTGCCCCCTACGGGGCCATTCCTACAGACGACCCCCTTCTCTGACCCCCAGATAAACCCAACCCCTGACCCCTCCTCTCTCCTCTTCCTCCTCCTCCTCCTCCTCCTCCTCCTCCTCCTCCTCCTCCGCCTTCTCCTCCTCCTCCTCCTCCTCCTCCTCCTCCTCCTCCTCCTCCTCCCGAGGAGCCACAGTCTCCTCCGAACTCCTCGACGCACCACTTGGCGAACACTCTCAGCGCCTCATCGCGGGGCGAGGGGGGGGCGGAGCGAGGTCGCCACGAGCAGCAGAGACGCCGCATCAAGGCGGAGAGCGAGGGGCTGCCAAGTTCGCCTTGCACCTGACTGTGCGTGACCGGGGGGATGAAAGAAAACAGACGCGTGCAATGCGACAGAAATGCCATCAACATACGGTCCATGCATTCGTTGCGCGCTCCAACGTTCGAGACCACCCTCAAGGAGGAAGCATGTAGCGAGTCCTTCGCGGAAGGGCGTGGGTCTCAAGCGCGCCCAAATCAAGGTGGGTGCGAGTGTGGCGGCCGTCTAAGAAAACTGGGGGCCCTCCCTGAAGAAACCGGGAGGTACTGGTACCGCTACTGCCCAGACCTCTCCTGGGGTGCGTTCCGACTAGGATTTCGAAGCGAATGCAGCGGTGGCGACTGGGGCCTCCCAGGAAGCCCAAAAAGGGGAGAACGAGGGAAGGGAAACAATATGCGGGTATACGTTCCTCTTCTGACTCCTGAAGAGATCGGAAGCATATGAGAAGGCTGCCAAGGAATAAGACGAAGGCAAAATGATAATACATCCAGATACGGGGTCTCTGAGAGCTGGCTTGGCTGGGCGCCGCGGCCGCCCCCCGAGCGCTGCGGAGCGCCCTGAAAGCGCCCTGGTATGCTCTGGATATCCTCATTCTCGGCCTGCTGGAAGAGGGCACGTAGGCTTCTACAGTCGGACTTGATTGGAGAGGACACCCGAGAGGACACAAGACTCTTCCGACGGCAACGTGGCCTCAGAACACTACAGGACATGCGGGTTGCCTAGGTCGGACGGTCGACCTACCAATCAGGGCCGACTGCAAGAGGCCTCCTCCATCTGGGAAAGCTGACCCCGGGCCACTCGCGCCACCTCCTCGGAGAGCTGCCGACGAAGGCTGGGGGGAGAGGCACGGAAGCGGAGCGGAGGGAGCGAGGGGTGAGGAGGAGGCCTGAGTATCGTTTAACCGATCCCCATCCCAGCGGCGTGGCCTGGGCCCCACTGGCCGATTTACCCGCCTAGATGGGGATATAGGCCATTCCCTTCGGGTTTCGAGGGCTGTATCCCCCACTGGGGTGGTAATTTGGTGGGGGTCTCGAAGGGGATGGGGATGGGGACGGGGATCGGGTAAACGATACTGAGTTGGGGGGAGAGGCACGGGAGCGGGGCGGAGGGAGCGAGGGGTGGGGAGGACGCCGCGCTCGAGCGCCGCCTCCCCGCTGCCCACCCGGCGAGGAGGCGGCCTGTGGCGGCCTGCGGGGATCCGAGCCGGAGCGGGCCCACGCCCTCGGAGTGGGAGCGGGCCCGTGTCCCCAGCGGGCTGCGAGCAAGAGGCGCGCGATCCGGGGCCAGGGGGGGGCCCTTCTCAGAACCCTGTGTAGAGGCCAGAACATCCACCCCCAGAATGACCTCTCCGACACGGGAAGACGTTTCGCAAACGCGCCCAGAAAAGAAACGAACAGGGCAGGGCTGTTTAGTGAACGCCCAGGGCCTTTTAGTAAACGCTAATTATCGGGTCAAGGTGTTTTTGTTCCTCCGCTGGTGAGCATGAAGAGACGGCGGGCGGCGAAGAGACGGCACCACGGACGGGGTTGAGAGGTCTGGGGCTTGCGTCCTGAAACCACCAATCGGAAGTTGGTCTGCGGAGAATAACGGGTGAGGGGTGCACACAAAACGGCCTCCGCGAGGGACTGCATCATCGCCGCTGCAGATGCGGACAGGAGTGAAGGGCTGCTCTGCGTCGGAGAATTTGAAGCCGAGGCAGAAGCCTGCCGCCTTTTCGTTCCAAGCGCACTTTTGCACAAATGGGAAATCGTGCTTCCCAGCGTGACCCCGAAACAGTGTGCGACTGCACTCTGGAGGTGCAGTCGCTGTGGTGCACTATCTCTGGGGCAGGCTATTTAGTGTAGTCCATGCTAGAAACATCCCACCCACCGGCAGGGCTGAACCTAAACGGTGTTTGTCGTTTTCGTTTTGTTTTCGTTTTCCCTCGTTTTGTCTTCAATCCACCTCTACCGCAAAACGAAGCCGAAACGAAAACGGCCCACGAAATCGTCAAAACACTGTTTAGGTCCAGCCCTGCCCACTGGCCCGCAACTCCCTGCCAAAACTCAACTGGCGCAGTGGCGGGAGAACCCTCACCATGCAGATCCATGGCTCTTGCGAGCGAGCGGTAATTGTGGCGGCGACATCGGCGACGACGACGAGTATGACGACGATGGTGGCGACGATAACGAGGATGATGGCGATGACGATGACGATAACGATGGCAACGATGACGCTGGCGCAGATGATAACGTTGGTTCCGACGAAGACGATGGGGCACTGATGACATGTGTTTAAACCGAAAGCGCTACTGTACCATATGTGATCGAATGCCTCTGCCCCGGAGTGCTGAGTTCACCAATGGTGTTGCAGTGCGTTCGACCTGCGAGCCGAGGGACGCGCGCGCGTGGCCCGCATGGCGTCATTGGTTCGACAGGGCTGGCGGGAGCGCGATGCCTGGTGACCGCGTTCGACGTGTGCGCGCGTGTGGCCCGCACAAGCCTCACGCGTGAGAACGGCTAAACACACGCAGCGGCTGCCTCACTGTCTGGGGCGAATGTGCGCACAGATTGCTGGCAATGCAAGGACGTGCCAAAAATCAGACTCGTTTCCATTTCAATTCCAGTACTCTTGTGGCAACTAGATGTTGGTTACGCGTCCAGAACTGTGAGGGGCATGGTTAGGGCAACCAAGATGATGTGGGAAGGCCCAAACAATGCATGCAACCAGATAGTTTGAAACAACGCGGTTCCGCAACATCGCCGCCAAAATTCACACACACACGCAATTTCACTTGGTGCTGTGGTGGGGAGCAGTCACAAGTTCACAACGACCACAACGCTGGAATGCGGCCGAGACAAACTATCCAACTTTGTGGATGGGTGCAATCACACACACACACATACATACAACGCGAAACACTGACAGAACACGAAAACTGCTGTTGGGGGGGTCCAGGTCTCCAGGAGTGAACACAAACAACACAAAAACAAACTGATTCGAACAAACAACCAAGACATTTGCATCAGGAGGGGGAGGAGGAGACCGACGAAGATAAGGCGGCAACTTTAGGGGGGGACGGGCTCAGGTGTGGGAAACATTGACATGACATCGGCGACATCGCCGACTCATCAGCGATAGGCCCCCGATAATGAGCCACACTGCATGTTCCTGGGCGGGGTGGGCTAGCGGCTAGTGGGCTCCTAAATCATTGGCGATCAATCGGCGAGTGGGTGTCGATGCATCACTCCCTAAGCGTAAGACTACTGGCGTTGCACCTGAGAAGACGACCCCGCTTCCTTCGACAAAAGAAACCAAAAGGTACCGATACCGCTACTCCCTGGACCTCTCCCAGGGTGCGTTCTGACCAGAATTCCGAGGCGAGTCCAGCGGTGGCGACGAGGCCCCCCATAGAGGCCCTAGAAGGGGAAAACGAGGGAATGGCAGTGGTATCGGTACATCTTCATCCTCCGATCGAAGGCATCTACGATGCATCGACGATGCATCGACGACACCAGCGATGCATCGACGACATCGGCGATGCATCGGCGCCTTCGGCGTGGAGAGAATCGGGCTCCACATCGAGCCTCATCGGCGATGCATCGGCGACGCATCGGTGATGCGGCGCGATCCTCCGACAACATGTACTCGGACCCCATCTGGGAGGCCTAGAGCCCCTGAGCGCGTCCCGAAGGCTCTGGAGATCCGCCCGAAGAGGGCAAGGGGAGGGCGCATCTCATGGCCGGCGGCACGTGCGCGGCCCAGAGGTGGGTGGGGCTGGGGAAGCGCTGACATAAGAAGGGCGCCATGAGATCTCGGAAGATGCCATGGCCCCCGCCACGACATCCACCCCCCCTAACCATCACCCGCATCTTGGCCGCCCCCGATCCCGAATCCAGTGCCCGCCCGACCCGCCCACAAGGGCCACGCGTCAAGTCCGCCGGCTCTCGTCCGGCGGCGCGCAAAGGGGTGTAGGGGGAGGGGGGAAGGCTTCTCAGAAGGAGGCTGCTTCTTAGAAGGCGCCAGCCCTACATCTGCCAATAAGGCCCGCGCCGTGTGAGAAGCAGGGGTGCTTCTAAGCCTTGCCCCTCCCCCTACCCCCTCTGCGCGTGACTGACTCGTTTGTGAGGGGACCGACTCAGGGGGAGGGGGGAACATCGAGCTCGGATCGTCGACACATCGCCGATACATCGGCGACAGGCCTCCAGTACGGAAGCCGCACGCTCCTGCGCAGGTCGGGGTCATCAAGTACCTATCGGCGATGTATGGGCGATGTGGGGTCGATGCGTCCCCCCCTGAGCCCATTACCCCTAACTCACGAGCGACGCACGTACCCGTATCCGCGCTGGGCATCCGTGAAAAAACGCCACATATCCGCAGGGTCGCGGCCCAAGGACCCAGCCCGCGAGGCCGCGGATACAAATTTGTTTTTCGCCCATGACTAACGTTGCCCCCGAATTTCCGTGACAGTCCGCCCGCCCGCTTCAGCGTCCCTTCCGCCCGAGCCGCCTACGGCAGGCTCGTGTCGTGACGAGCCCAGCGTTGGTTCGCTGGTTTCTGACACCGCGTGGATCGTTGAACCTTGAACGGTCAGCGCATGCTCGAGCGCCAGATCGCGCCATGTCGACCGACTCTGGGCCGCGGGCTGTCCCAGACCTCCGATGCCTGTTGTTCAATGTTCGGCGGTGGACAAACCTCCCTTTAGCAAACCACCCTTGGTAAAGACGGCACAGGACCGACGCCGACGGACCTGGACCCGCAAAAATGACGGCCGCGACGCCCTCTCGCAAACCGAAAACGGCCAACTCGCTAATCGACGTGACGTGTCAGGGTAGGAAGTCTATCAGCCTGCGAAATACCGGGCCCGCGGAGCCCTGGACCACTTCCCCGGGACAGGCTTGCCACACGAAATCGTTCCTGGACAGCCCGGGCCCGGCGAGGGTCTCCAGAGGCAGAAAGTGGTGAAGAACAGGTCCGACACTGCACGAGCCGACCACGAGATTGAGGAGCAACTGTCGGGAGCGTGCAAGAGTGAAGGGGCCCTGGGACACACAAATAAGTACAAAAATAACGGGATTCCCCATATTTTCCCATGTGTTCTGGGTTTGTGTCTTCCCCCCCACTTCCCATATTTTCCCATATTTTCTGGGGAATCGACGATTAATTGTGTCTGTGTGTGTTTTCCCCTCCTGAATAAAGGGGGGCGTCCAAGAGGGGCGGGCGCAAATCGTGGCCCGAGGCCCGTGCGCAGCCCAGGTGGGGGCCGGGGACGCATCGAAATAAGAAGCGGCGGGAGGACATCTGGGGAGACATCGTGGCCCCCGCCATGAGAACCACCCCCCCGTGGCCATCACCCCTCTCTGGGCCGCCCCCGAAGCTGGGCCGCCCTCCGAAACCTGGGGAGATAACGTGGTCCCCGCCATGAGACCCACCCACCCGTAGTCTCGGGCTGGGCGAAAGGGCGGGATAGCAAAGGGGGGGTTGGAGAATCAGCTCACGTAGCTGATCTTCCCGGCGCCGGGAGGCGCCCACGTATCGAGGGATGGGCCCGGCGGCGGGGCCGAAACCAGCTGCATGCAGCGGATTTCGTAAGCCCCCCTTTCTCTATCCCCCCCCTTTCGGTCGGCTCGATAGTCATCACCCCCCTCTGGGCCGCCCCCGAAACTGGGCGTCTCGAGTCTCTGCAGCAGGCGCAGGCCCGACTGTCAAGGCAGTGGCTGGCGAAACACGGCGGCCCTCGAGCCTCGGCCTCCGCCTCGTCGATCTCGCGCAGGGTGACGGCGAGCGGGCCGAGATGCCGCCCAGCCCCGCGGGGGACGAGGAGGGTTGATCGAACAACGTCGCTAACAGAGGAAGAACTGACTGCGCTCCGCGCGGACTTCGTGGACTTGCGCTGGATCCCCCTGGCGCCGGCCCCTGGCGCGCTTCGCACGCCAGGTAGGGGGTCCAGCGCAGATCCAAGAAATTCGCGCGGAGCTCAACATATATGTATGTTTATGCCATTTGTTTCCCTTCGAGCCAAGATGGAAGGCTCAGGCAAGGAGCAGCTCAAAGGGCTATGAGTCCAGATTGAAGGACCATGTAGCCAAATGAATCCTGATTGAGCGCAAGATTAAGCCCGACCGGGCCGGATTAGAAACAAAATTGTGCGGAACCAAGCGGGGTCACGCCGGACTAAGCTGGTTTTCGGTCACGGATTTACCAACGCTGATGCTAGGGCAAGGAAGAGGGAAACGGTCAGACCACCAGCTTGCGGGAGACGGGCGGCTGCACCTGTCGCTAAACCCCACCCCCCGGCCTCAACCTGTAGGCTGTAGGGAGGGAAGCAGAGGAGGACAAGCCTACATCTTCTGCCAATCTCTTCTGTCATCTGACACCCTACCTACCCCTTCTGCCCAACCCCTCCCATTGTCTGGGGCCCTCTCCTATCCGCCGACTGGGGTAACCCAGAGGACCTCGGTCCCGAATGACGGTCGCATGATTTGGCCGATCGCGTGCTGTACAGGCGAAAGTGGGCGCACTTGTGCGCCGGAGAAGGAGAAAGCTGATGGAGGATGCAAGTCGAGGAGGAGCAGGAGCAGGAGGAGCAAGCTGATGGAGGATGCAAGGAGAGGAGGATGCAAGGAGAGGAGCAGGAGGGGCAGGAAGATGCGAGGAGAGGAGCCACTCCCGCGTACGATTCTTACACAGAATACTTCTCCGAAAGTGCACACTTCGTGTTGCCAGAACTCCACCCCCGCGTACGCTCCTGAGGACATAAAACATCCTGCCCTACTCCGTGCGGTTCCTGGGCACCCCTAGGAATACCTGGGAATGCACATCTCCGCTGGCTGGCCTCCTGCTCCTCGACCCGCCACTTCACGTCTGCTGCTGTCAGGGTTCGCTACTTGGGGTGATGTTTCTTAGCGGCGCTCACAAGGGGATAGGGGGAGGGAAGGCTTCTCAGAAGGAGGCTGCTTCTTAGAAGGCGCCGGCCCTACATCTGCAGACAAGGCCCGCGCCTTCTAAGAAGCAGGGGTGCTTCTAAGACGCCTTCCCCCCTCCCCCTCTGCGCGGGGCCGACTCTTGCCCGACGCCGATTCATCTCCTCTCCGCCCCTGGAGGCGGCCCCAGAGATGAGCCTGCCGCCCCAAAGCACCACCGCGTGCTCGATCTATCCTGGAGCCCCCCGCGGGCCAAAACCTCACACGGCACATGCCCGCCGATCACCCTCACCTTGCCGTCAGCCTCAACAAGGGGTCCTGAGAGACGCTGGACCTAGACCCCAGTGCCTTCCCCAGGGCCAGTTCCTCATCCAAAGTGGCTTTTGACGGCCCCAGTGGCCGTGGACGGCCTCCTAGGAGGGCGCCACCCATTCGCACATGCCGGTCCTGGCAGGGCAAATGCGGGGCCGATGATCGGTGCATGCGCCCATCTGCCTTCGTCAGAAGGGATACAGCCGGACCGAGGTATAAGATCGAGGTCGGTTCGGCAAGGGTACCCTAGCTTGTTGGATGTCCTTGTGCATCTTGGGGGAGGGTATCCTCGAATGCTCTTCATTTTGGCCGGTGGAGGGTCCCATGTTCTTGAATAATGTCCTTCTGGTCTAGGTCCGACTGTACTCATCGGGCGGAAGAAGTAGGTAGAAACATGAAGTAGGAAGGCGTTGAAAATAGATAGGGTGTCCGCCCGCCACCTAAAGAGGACGGAAACGGTGAAGCCACCGGATCATTGAAGTAGGAATCTCGGAATCCAAAAATATCTACTTTCAACGACCGAGCCAGCTGCTCGGCCCTGTAGGAGGATGTAGACACTCGGGTGGCGCAGGGGGGAGCAGGTCGCCCCCCTTATGCAAGCCCTGGGGGGATCGCATGGAGGCCCTGGACGCGGAGGCGGCGGAGAAGGAGGAGGGGGAGGAGGAGGAGGAACTTCGCAGAACTGGACTGTCCGCCATGAGCGTATCTGCGGGAGCGCCCCGCCCCCCCACCCCACCCCACACCCACACCTGAACCCTTCCAAAAGGAGGGGGGCAGATGGGGCAGGCGGGGAGCGCTGGTGGCACGCGTGTGCGGGGGGGGGGGGAACCAGAGCCCCTCCTGAGCCCGAAGCGGTCCTTATTTCAGCGTGTGGAACTGTATTGCGAAACGTGCTCCCTGATGGGCCGATGCTCCACCACCACTACCAGATGTATGAGGGGGAGGAAGAGGAGGAGGAGGAGGAGGAGGAGGAGGAGGAGGAGGAGGAGGAGGAGGAGGTGGAGGAGGAGGAGGAGGAGGAGGAGCAGGACCTCCTTATCCTCCCTTCTCCCCCGTCCTACACATGGTAGTGGTGGTGGAGCATGGGCCCATCACTCCCGCCCAGTCCCATGGAAGGGGGCAGGAAGGCCAGGAGGGGGTGGGACGACGGGTGCCCTGCCGCCCCCCCTGGGGGGAGGGACGATCGGGGGGGCAAGCACAGGCCATGCCTCCGGACGCGTTGGCATGCTCGTAGTTGCGCCACCGGCAACCGAGTTCGGGGGGGGGGGGGCCGGGGGAAACACATCGACCTGGAATCGGCGATACCAAGACGGCCCAGGCAGACACAACTAAATCGACGCAAGTTCCAGGATCCCCCAAAATCTTCAATATTCGATGGATGTCCATATTCCCCTCCATTCCCAATTTTCTTATATCTTAATGGGAATGTGCAGAATTGTTTTTTTTGTTTTGTGTGTGTGTGTCTGTGTGTATTTGTCCTTCCTGAAAACGTCAGGGGGGGCCAGCGGAAAAGTATCGACCTGGAATCGGCGCTACGTCCCCGATACATCGGCGATACGCCCCAGATAGCAACACCGCATGTTCCTGGGCGGGATGGGCCATCGGGCTCACACTGCGGGTCAACAGGCGGCGGTTGGAGGACGCCGCATCCCCCCCCCCGAACCACCCCGCCCTGACGTAGCCCCTGACATGAGCAGGCAGCTCAGCCTGCCAGCCTCCTCTCCCCGCGAGGCCCCTCGGGGACCTCCGCCACCCCGTCGGGACGAAGCAGTCTCTCTCGGGCCGCTCGGGATGTAGCCAGAGAAGTTCCGGTCCAGCGCCCGCCACGCGCCCGGCGTGTCGCCCTCCCGGCGGGGGGGGGAGGAAGATGGGTACGAGACTGAGTGTGACCATGAGGCAGCGCCAGTCAGTGGCCTACATCACGTGACGAATTACACAGGAAGGCGCGACTACAACACATGGCAGCGGCTACGCTCCTCAGCAGCATTCAAAACCTGGGGCCGCTTTACGCCAGCAACCCTGATGATACGTTCAGCTCGAATGGGTGTGGCAAGGCGAATAAGACCCCTGCAAAGTTCACGAAACACTAAATCCGCAAAGCAACCTCACGATCTACAATACTGGAGCTTAAGCTGGGTCTGATACTGCATGAAATTGAACTGATCCACCCATCCACCCATGTGCAGCTCAGCCGCGCAATGAAGGATATCTATATGTATATATACATACTAGAACCACGCGCGCGCTGCGCGCGCGCTTTGGTTCGCCCATGTCGTCCAGCCCGCCCATCTGAACCAAGAAAGCCGGTTTCTGCTGAGACATCCTCACGATTCGCTCTTAAACTTAAGCTGGCCACGGCGTGCAGGTGACGCTGGCGGTGTGCTGCCCGCGCCGAGGCGAGAGCGCCGTTTGGACGGACTTTCGGCCATTGTACGGCGGTTCGGCCCGCATAGTACGCTATGTTATCAATGCGAGGCTAAGCTATGCGGTGTGCTGCGATGCGATACTATGCTGTGCGATGCGATGCGATGCTATGCTATGCTACGCCATACTGTGCCATGCGATGATATGCTAGTATATGCGACGCGATGCGATGCGATGCTATGACATGCTATGCGATGCTATGCTATGCTATGCTATGCTACGCGATGCTCGTCTATGCTGTGTTGTGCGATGCTATGCGGTGCTATGCTATGCTCTGCTGTGCGATGCAATGCTATGTTGTAGCTCCAGTTGGTTCCCCTTCCTCACCCCCACCACCACACGCACAACCTCGTTATCACCCGACGGGTGGTCGTACATGTAGGTATACACTGGCAGGATCTCGCGGCCAGAGATACAACCGCCTCGCGCACACTTGCCTGGAGCGGGGAGGGATGGGGAGGAATCTGGGAGGAGCGGGGAGGGGTGCAGAGTGAGGTGTCTTGTGGGCCTCTTGGACTGTCTCAGAGCGCTCTGGGATCCACAGGCGCCTACGGAGGTCGTCTTGGAGGGCTCTGTGGGACGTTTTGGGGCGATCCTGGGAGCTTCTTGGACCGTCTTGGAGGCCTTGTTGGGATGTCTTGCGGCGCTCTTGGGGTTCTGTGAGGCCGTCGTGGACGCTATTCATACAAAGCGCATATGCCCAAAATAGACGCTTCCCAAAGGAATTAGAGCGATGTGTGTTCCTTGCGGCCCTCATAAGTGTCCTCTTGAAGCCCTCTTCAAGCGCTTGGGGGGCCTCTCGGGCCGTCTTGAAGCCATCATGGGCGTCTTGACGAACTCTTGGACCGTCTCGGAAGCCTCCTGGACCGTCTGGGGAGCGCCTTCGGGCCCTCCGAAAGCCCCCCGAAGGACCCCGAGGGACACAGTGGGCACCGCGGGGGGAGGGGGGAGTTTGGGAAAAGTGGGCAGCCTCGGGCCCCAGGGGTCTGGTCGCGGGGTCCGCATGGTGATGGGCAACTATGATGAGCGCTTGCGCGCTGCAGTCAGATCCACCTTGAGCCAAAATGGCTACGGATGTTCGTGGGGCGTCTTTGGGGGCTCCTGTGGGGCCTCGTGGAGCCTCTAGGAGGCCTCTAGGGGGCCTCTTGGGCTCTCTTGGGGCCTCTTGGGGCCTCCTGGAGGCCTACTGGGGCGGAAGGCTCGAATTGTCGGTTCGTGTTCCCCCTCTTGAGCCCCTCTTGGGGCCCTCTTGAGGCGATCTTGGGCGCCTCTAGGGCCGCCTTGGGGCACTTTTTGGGCCATCTTGGGGGCTCTCTCTATTGCGCCGTCGCGGCGCCCTCTTTGGGTGCCTCTTGGGCCGTCTTGAGCTGGTTTCTGGGGCCTCATGGGCTGTCTTGAACCGTTGGAAGCACGAAACAGCGAGAACACGAACAACCTTCAAAAACCATTGAGGAAACCTACTTGCTTCGCCTCCTGAGTGCCTCGTGGGGGCACTTTTGAGGGCATCTTGGCCATCTTGAAGCTCTCTTGGGCTGTCTCGGACCACCGTGGGGCAGGGCACCTCCGAGGTCAGAGTTTCGAGGATGTCTCAGGCGAAAGTGGTCTGACCAACTCAGGTCAGGACGTCTCGGAACCCAGAGCTTTGAGGATGTCTCAGGCGAACCGGGCCTCCTCCTGCGCTTCCTCCTCTTCATCCTCCTCCTCCTCCTCCTCCTCCTCCTCCTGCTCTCCTCCTCCTGCTCTTCCTCCTCCTGCTCCTCCTCCTCCTCCTCTTCTGCCTGGATGCTGCGCCGGTTGCGAACGCCTGCTCCTCCACGAAATTAGTCCTCATCCGCCTCCCCTTGCCCATGTCCCTCCCCGCCTCCTCGCTCTTTCTCCCCCTCCTCCTCCTCCTCCTCCTCCTCCTCCTCCTCCTCCTCCTCCTCCTCGTCGTCCTACTCCCCCCCTGTCCTGTCTTCATCCTCCCACTCCTCCTCCCTCCTCCTCCTCCGCTGGCCGAGCCGGGCCGGGCCGGGCCGAGCCGAGCCGGCGGAGGAATAGTCTGATTATGGAAGGGAGGGGGAAGAGAACGAGCAGGAGGATTTGTTCGACATCGACGCCCAGAGGTCGTCGCCCCCTGATCTCTGGCCTGTAGCAGGCCAGCGAGCAGTGAAACGAAGATATATAGGAGGGCAGGCGCGAAAGCCACGGGGCGATTTCCCACAGGAGGGGAGGATGCCCTGTGGCTCACCGCCTGCCCCCCTAAGCCCACGACCAGAGAAGAATGAGGTCAGGGCGAGACGCGCCACACGCGGAGGACGCATGCTGCATCTCCTAGTCTGAGTCGTCAGACTGTAGTGCAGCGACGGCGACGAGCGAGGCCTCGTCCTCTTCAAGGACGGAGGCAGTTCGGTCTCGGCCGAACGCTCCAGCCGACGAGGCTGGCTCAGGCACCTGCTGCACGGCCTGCTGGGAGGGACTCTCACCAGGCAAGCCAAACAATGAACAGGCTGCTTCCTCTTCCGCATCGCGCGGTCCAAGAGGGAGAGATGTTGGGGCAGCAGCTTCGACGGTACACGACGACTCGGACGAAGGGTCGACGACTCGATCATGCTGCTGCCCCTGTGGTTGTGCTGACGGTGGAGGATCGACCTCCAGCTCCACGCCAGCTGGGACTGATATCCCCCAGGAGGAAGAGGAGGACATGGATGAGGTGCTTTTTCGAACGGCCGAAACGGTCCTCCCGGTCCCCTCTACCTCCTACTCCTTCTGGCTCTACCCTCGGCTCGGATTGCGCTGGACGCCTGCCCGACGTTCACTCCTCCTCCTCCTCCTCCTTCTCCTCCTCCTCATCCTCCCTCCTCCTTCCCGGGTGCCCGGGGGATGCCCGGATGCCCCGGTGCCGGGGTGCCTGCAATGCCCGGGTGCCCGGGTGCCCCGGTGCCCGGGTGCCCGACAGGGGGTCTTCCGTGCGGGTCTTCCGTGCGGTGACAGTGTTCTCGCTGTTGAAGGATGCGAATCCAAGGGCGCAGTTGTACGACCGAATGTGCTGCATGAAGTGGTCGTGGGAAGGACCCGGACGAAGGAGCTGAGCCATTTCGGCCGGAGCGGGAGGCAGTAGGGGGATGCCAGCCAGGGCTCCGTACCTGCAGCACGCGCCGAAGTCCTTTCTGCGTGCTGCCGGGCAACGCGCGCGTTCGGCGAAGAAGTGCAGAGCCCGCACGTTGCGCAGGCTCCTTGAAAGTGGCCGGTCGGAGAGAGCGACGCTTTCGGAGCGCGTTTGCTGCACCATTCGTCTGTCGACCACCAGCCGGCGCGGTGGCCGGTGCGTACGCCAAGAGAAGTCCCAGGCACGGGTTCTGCGAACCAGTTCCGATGCGCTGCGCAGGCGGGCGGACAGCTGGACGAGTTCGGAAGTGCTGCGCGGGTGGACTTGTGGCGACGCCACGGCACGGAACATTTCGGCGAGTCACGTGCTCGGAGGTACATGCGGACGGCTGCCGCCACCTGCTTGCGGAGTGCTTGCAACGGATCGCTACGTGGACGGGCGTGTGGGACACCAGAAGACCCCGACGTCGGAGGATGATGGGGCCCGGCGGCGGCGGTGGCTACCGCGGCATGTCGGACGTGGTCGGGGCAGTATCCGGTGGCGTACATTACTTTCGTCAACTTTCTGTCGCACAGTGGGAAGGAACATGTGGGTTTAAAGCAACGTTCGCACATGCCGTTGTTGTGCGGCACTGCGCGTCGCACGCCATGGCGGGCGGGGGCGCGGCAGCCGGCCTTTCCGGGCCCCTGGCAAGGGGGCCCCGCGAGGCAACAGTGCCTACATTTCACCACGGTGCCGAGAGGGCCCACGAGAAAAACGCACCCAATGGCACGATTGCTACATGGCTTCCCTTTTCCGAATGCACGCGATGCAGAGGGCGTCGGACGATGTTCCGTTGAGCTACACCGTTGCACCCAGACGAACTACAAGGGCGTTCGGCTTGCTCGTAGGATCGTTTGGAGAGGGATGGTAGTGGTTGTGGTGTGGACAGCCCGCACGTTCGACACAGGCCTGCTGAACCAGGGGTGGAACGGCCGTCGCACCTGCGCGTCGAACGTGGGAAACAGGACGAAGTACACAACACAAAGTGTCCTCTGGCGACTCGACTACGTTCGTGCACGGGGGCGTGCGGCAGAAGTGGAGCAGGGCGGGCGGTTGGCAGACGAGGCAATGCTGTCCGTGTTGTCGAGGGACGCGGAAGTTGCAGGTGGCCGTGGCGCAAGGAAAGACCCCGACGATGCACATGGGGCATTGCGCGCCCGTTCGAGATGTGTTTTCTTGCACCGCTGGCGCCCCGCACTTCGGAGTGCTACATCGCGAGGGCGTAGATGCAAGCGCCGTCGAAGACTGCGCTGGAGCGGCTAGAGAAGGGCTGGCGGCTGGGCTGGCTCC